TTAATTCCCTCATAAGGCAGGATTTCCTCAGTTTTGGATTCTGTGACTATTAAATTCACCCGATTTGGCTGCTGGACTATCTGATCAAGAGATCAGACATGTCTCTGACAGTGATATTAAGAGTGTTTTATTTGTGCCTTTTTGACAGAATGCATCCTCTGAACCTGCCTCAGTGTAGACAATCATTGTCGGTTGGGTGAAAATCAAAACAAAGGCAAGGTCATACTGAGGAGATGCTCAGGTAGCTCAGGAGGGTTGGACGTTTGGCAGCCTGAGGCTGATAACTCAAAGTAGACACCAGAGGCAGCTTTTGCAGCTGAGACTGGGTCTCCAGGAATCCTCCAGCTTCTCAAGTATCTTACAAATGATAACTCAGGGTTGTCTATTCATGTCTGCCTGAAGTGCACAATTATAAACCTTAAAGGACCCTTACTTAGCTAATTAAAGATAATCCCTGACCTTTAAAAGAAGAGGTATTGTCCTGTCCTTTGAGAGTATCTGGGGAAGTTCAGCCTTGGGTTCATATGCACTGGAAACTCTTCTGGTTTGAGTTGCAAGTCAAGGTGCTGCTTAGCTTTCTTGGAAGATCAGGGCAAACTATCAACAGCTTCTGTGCTCAACATTCCATTCTGCAAGAACTTCTAGAGTAGGAGCAAGGGCCATTAGACCTCCCATCAACTTCTGTTTAAACCATACTTTGTTTTTGTTGAAAGTGGTTTACAGTTTTCAAAGCATCTTTTTTACAAATTGTTATCATTTTGAAGTCATTTAGATAATGTTAGAATTGACTTTTATAAATCTATAACAAAAGCTGAATGAGATCATATTTACTGCGCAACTGAAGGAGGCACACCCAATTAGTTATTTTTCTCAAAATTAGTCTTAAAATATTTACCTCAGGGAAAAAAAATGTTTTCCTAGGTTTATTAGGTCACCTAATATTTTCTTAGCCATCGTCGTCGTTTCTGTCAACTGCCCTGAGTCACAACTTAAAAATGGCTGTAAAGGTTGTACGTGAGGACAAGTTTGCATTTTACCTATGGTTCGGATTGCTCTTCAGCCCAGTGCTAGAAGAGATTAGATTTCCCCCAGCTGCTCAGGAACTGAGAACCTCCACAACTTTGTCTTGGAGAGATAATGTGGGTACACACTGTGGGTCTCTGGCCATGTTAGAAGCTACCCCAGAAAACTCCTGTAGCCATTTCCCCAGAGCTATTGCAAAAGTTTTCACTTGTGTGGTTTGATTAATGTCCCTGGTTTTATTTCAAAAAAGAGGGAAGCATTTTTTAATCTTGAAGCTTTTATATACTGCCATGGTCCTAACTTTGGTCAGCTCATTTTGATGTTTCAGTTCTTAGACCCATAGTATTGTGATACCAGGCTAATTATAAACCATCTGGTGAATATGAGCCAGGTATAGTGTGGATTATCCAGACAATACAAGTTGGTTAGGGATTTGGAGTTATAGTACTGAATTATAAGTATTATCCACCCCTAGCATATGCCAGAAAGACAGAAATGATATACTTAAATCAGAGTTCAGCTCATATCAGTCAGAAACACACACACACACACCTAGATTAAAGAGCTGCCTTATCAGAAACAGAGGAACAAATATGGCTGCCCCTGGATGAGCCATATCATATCCACAAGATGACTATAGAGGTGTCTCTGGTATGGCTTGAACTGTTAACAAATCTCTAGACTCTTCAGTAATGTATGACAAATGCCATGCCAACAGATAAATGATTGTTATTACCTGGCTACACCTGTGCAGAATATAGAGTAGACTCATGAGCAGGTAATGAAAGTAGCATGGAGGAAAGGTTTGGTCAGGAGAGGATATCTACTTATTTTAACAGGGATGACTGAAAATTAGATGTATGGTTTCTCTAAATGACAAAATAAAAAAATAGAGCTGGACTGAAATATATATACATCCATCTAACTCATTCTCCCACCCAACTCTCCCCACTCCACTTCCCCTACAGGGCATATTTGAAAACTGCTACTGAGTTACACCAATGGTAGATTAATGCTTTTACACCTCTCCGTTTTGCTAAAGAGGGACTGTTCCTCTCAGAGCAGGTGATCATCGAATCACTTATGCCCTTTGGTCCCTATTTGGTTAAAGAGAGGCAACATTGCCTAAGAGTGAGAATATAAGTTGTGGGCTTTGCTGTCTGAGACTCTAAAGTGCCTATTATTTCTTGATAGGATCCTACCGTTAAATTTCAGGAAAGCAAGTTTTCATTAATTCCCCTTTTCCCTTAGTGATAGGAGGTATTTGCCCTTGGGGGATATTATTTGTTTGGCAGTTTTTTTAAAGACATTTAAAAATCATTTGAGGCTGTGTGCTCTCTATTTCCTTGTTAATGGGTCATGAATTTTTACAGAGATGTTTGAATCATGGCTCATTTACCTCTAGATTGTACAAGGGTTAGTGAAGTAAGTGCTTGGAAACCTTATGTGGGGATGTATTCCATAGCAAAATACGTAATCCTTTCCAGACATTCAATGATGTTATGTTCCTCATTTAAAGAGTATTCCTAAGAATGTTTTAATGGCAACTGGGATCACTAGCAAACTATAGCACTTTAAAAAAATATATGCTTCCCATATGAATCTGCCACTCTTAAGTCAAGAGAGCCAGTTTCATGGCTAATTATCCTTGTTGACATTAAATAAATTGGTTAAAGTGCCAGGTTTTATCAAAATGTCTCCAGAGTAGATTCAGACACTGCTCACACATCATCTGCAATACCAGGTGACCTGGAAAGGGAAGACATGGAGGCTAAACATGAGAGAATGAAATGAATTATCGAAACTTGCATGGAAGGAATTTGAAATTTTAATTTTCACCATTATTTGTTGATATATGGATGATAGGGGACCTTGAACCAAGAAATTAGATAACTTAGTTTTGATATTTCCACCTAACCTATATTTTTAAATCATTACAGTTCAGATGAACTGGAAGTTTTATGACCTGCTTGGCTTCGATTTGCAAAAAAACTGAATGATTATCTTATGTCAATTAATTGCTCTTATTTAAAAATATGGCAGGATAATGCCAGGTGGCTTTTGCATGATATGTAGACATACAATGTCTTATACCCAGAAGCCTGTTTATGTTCCTTCCATAGAGTTGAATGACTGTTGTATTTCATAGCAATGAACTTTTTCTGAGTACACTGAGCTGTATGTCACTCTTAGGGGGTATCCTATCACTCTCCATCAGTAACGGATCCCACTCTTACTGCGGATGCTCTGGACAAAACAATTGCAGAATTTGATACCGTGGAAGATCTGCTCAAGCACTTCAACCCAGAGTCATGGCAAGAAGATCTTGAGAATTTGTATTTGGATACCCCTCATTATCGAGGCAGGTCGTACCATGACCGGAAATCAAAAGGTAAGAGACAGAGGCTTGCAGGTTCTTCGTAAACAGATAAGAGTGTTAACGGTACAGAATGAGTATCCGTTATCCAAAATTCTTGGGACCAGAAGTGTTTCAGATGTTGGATTTTTTTGGAGTTTGGAATATTTACATTTATACTTACTGGTTTAGCATCCCTAATCCCAAAATCTGAAATCCAAAATGTTCCAGTGAGCATTTCCCTGGAGCATTATGTTGGTACTCAAAATGTTTCAGATTTTGGAGCATTTCACATTTCATATTTTCCAATTAGGGATACTTAACCTGTAATAAGAAATAAGGTTGAGCAATGCAATCTATTTAATTCACTTAAATCAGATGATTGCTCTCAGTGCATTATCATGTTTCACAGCACTTTCAGATGAAGTTCTGTGTTTTGCACAAACTGTTGTTTTTCTAGGACTAAGAAAGATTTCACCCAAAGATTTGTCATAGTTTGGAGCTAGAAGAGACCTTATAAATCATCTGGACCAGCTTCTTACTCCTTGGCAAGTGAGGCATTATTAGCCCCAATTTTACAGTGGAGGCAACAAAAGTCAGAGGAGGTAAATAATTTGCCAAAGTAATAGCAGTAGGGAAGACATGAGAATTGTGGTCTCTTACCTAAAATGACAGTGTTTGTGTAACGGTCTACTGTGCCTCTCTGAGGGATTTGAGGATTGATCGAGTCCAGTCCTGTCAGTGTTGACAGCAGAGGCTCCTGTTAAAGCCATGGTGAAAACTCCGCTGGAAGATTTCACCTCTACCCATTTCATGTCCATTCTATAATTTTTTTTAATCAGGATGGGTGATTCAAGTGTTTGGGATATAAATGTCCCAAGGGAGAGGAAAAGAAGGCCTGCGATAGTGAGAGCACATGTTCAATGGGAAGTTTCAGAAAAGTAGAATGAGGGGAGAAGAGAGAACATTCAGGCAGAGAGATCATCATAAGTTAAAACAATACTTAAACTTTTAAAAAATACATAGCCTAGTCATACATCTGAGTGATAGGATCTTAGGATGAGAATGTTTTTTTGGAGTATATAGCTCAAATTAATAGAGAAATGAAGTGTAACTAACTCTGAT